ATAAGTTATGTATGTATTATAGAATACATTAATGTCTTATGGAATAAGTTATGTATGTATTATAGAATACATTAATGTACATTAATGGAATAAGTTAATGTACCTCTAATGTAAGGATAAATTTTACTCTATAGAAACTTATTATTTCTTTTACTATGAAAATTGCAAAAATAACTACCTCGATGCTAAGAAATCAAATGTCAATGAACTATAGTGGTTAGCTATATTTGTTCAAACTTAAACATACTATGACCTTGAGTAGAATGTACTGTCCATGGTCCACCTGATAGGAATAAGGGGATAATTCCATTTGTAAATTTACTGTGTCTACAGAATTAGTGTTAGAACAGGGCATGGCTAATTTTAATAGCAGTGCAAGAAGCAAAAAGTAAAACCATATGGACTATAAGACTGTGGTTCTTAAATTCAGGAAAATGCATTTTTGTTGATGTCTGAAGTTGAGATAAGTACTATTAATGATATTAATACTTGAATTATGGAAAAAAAAAGAACCACATTGGGTTGAAAACTCCTAAAGTATATTAAAATTTCAAGGTCTTGAAGAAATATATTGGATAAAATGTAGTATTTTCTTAAAAGATTCAGATCATAATTTTGAATATCGACTGTGCACCTCTGTTCCAGGTGGTTGTCTAAACATGTGATGCCACAGACTACTCTGAGTTTTGGCTGTTTTTAAAAGGCACGCATTATTGTAGAACTAAACAGCGGTTTTGAGTCAGAAAGGTCTGGGTGAGAATTCTCACTTCACCACTTCTGAAAGTAGAACTATGGCATTTTGTTTAAGCGTTCTAAGTCTCAGCTAGCATACTTGTAAGATGGGAAACAGTAACACCTAATTTGAAGACTGTTATGAGGATTAAACACTATAATATATGAGAAATCCCTAGCTGAGCCTGTTATTTTCTGTTTTTGGCCTGACTTACATCCAAAGTACGTACCTAAAGTTTATTAATATATAGAAAGAGAAAGCTAAAGTGCATTTCAAAGTAAAAGGAAAACTCAGATATGCTAACCATAAAGTCTTGCATAGTGGTAATAAAACTATTATGGAATCAGATAGAGGGTAAATAAATACACGAATAAAGAGTTGCTATGTATTAGTGTGAAATTTAACCCAGATCTTCCTGGAGATCTTTTATAGGAAGTTTTGCAAATAAACATCGTGGACAGGGGGCAAGTGAAAAAAAGTGAAAATGATCTCTTATTGTTTGAAGTGATTCGGTGAATAAACATTTCACTTTCTGGAAGGTCAGACATTCTGCATACCCGACTCTACTTTGAACACAGCTATAAATTTAAAAGTGAGAATCTCCTCTTAGAGAAAGTAGTTTTCACAAAATTCATTAACATTACTTTGGAGAAGAGGCCTAGAGCTAGCCTCTGATTCAGTTCCAGAAGATTGGAGGAAAATATGGGGCAGATCAGAAGGTGTGAGAACACCCAATCTGTACTGAGAAGTGACGGTTCTCAGAGAGAGAGGGAACACATTAAAGTTCTGTATTTGGGGCAATTGTCTGCACAGGCAATAGAACTATGTGTATAACTCAAATGCCTTTCAAATATAGGAATTCTGATGATGCTGTTATCAAGAATAGGTTAACTTATATTCAGTATCTCTATTTAAGAGAGCTGAAAAATATATATCTTTGAAAATTTCCAATAGACATTATTTTAGTTAAACACTTCGGCTGTTTATGTGAATAAACATCCTAAAACTTCGACTCATGGAACATTGTATTCCTTGTGAATACCAACATAATCTACTATGGCTCATTACTGAATATAGTTTAAAGTGTATTTTTGTGGAGTTTAATAAGTTCTGAAAATTATTAAATTTGTTTAATAATTTAAAAGGAGAGAATATTTTGTCATTAAAATATGCATGTTGTTGAGTTATGATATGCATCTTGTTTAAAATTAAAGGTATACTTCTCATAAAGATCTAGCATGAACAATATTATAGCATATATTAAGAAATTAAGAAACTTGCATGGTTGCTTTTATTTGAAAAAAATTATAGGGTAAGATCTATAGCAAATAGTTAAGAAAATCAACAGTTGGAAGGTTTTTAAAATTTATCAGTTCATTCTACCCAAAGATATAGACAGAAGTCAAGTAGGATTTTTTACTGCAGGTTCAATATGAACCTTACTTTACACAGGCAAGTGAATTGCTACCTTTAGCTTTTGACATTTTTGCCCTGAATTTGTTGTTCTTTGGTGATTAGAAGTAGATTCCTGGGTAGTTGACAGTTGAAGGTGCTTGTCTACATCCATTCATCAATAGATATTCGGAAAAAAAGTGATGCTCAAATCCTTCAAAATGTCCTAAATTTACCAATGCCAATCTACATTCCTCATAAATTGGTTGATATTATCCTAATTTTTCAAACACGAAAAAGAAAAATCAGTTAGCATGGACTTAAAAGAACGTTTCCACCCTGTGAAAAACTAGCATATTAAGTCATGTTGAATATTGTAGTCAAGCCTGATTCTGTAAAATCAGATTACACTAAAAGTAATTTTTGTTGGGGGTAGAGGACGGGAGGGAACAGTTTTGTAACAATGCAGTTCAGTTTTGCTGGTTCCACAATAATTGGCGTCGGTGCTGAATGGATCTTTTGTTTTTGCTGGTCAGGCTTGAATAACTGTTGTGTCATGTGTTTCCCAGAATATGTTCCTTGGAACTCTGATTTTCCAAACTGCTTCACAAAAAGAGGTTCAGGTATATTCTCAAGAACATTCATGAAACACTGTGTAGGTAATTCACTATATTTCAGCTTGAAGACTCACTGTATTTTGATACACTGAAAGCAATGAGACACCCTGAGGTTAATCTAGTGTTTCTTCAACTCCTTACCAATATAATGTGTTTTAATGTGTGTATACAATGACAGTGAATATTTTAAGCAGTGTTCTCTGGAATATACTTAAAAATGATGTGCTGACATATTAATTGTCTGATTTTATTTGTGAGTTGCATTTTTAGAATAATGATAACAATGATAAATTCAAGCTAGGTGTTATTTATGTCTATAACATGAAGTTATTTCTGGAATAATTTTAAATACAAGTATATTTCTATTTAGTATGTTTTAATAAATAAGTAAAATTAAGGCAAGACATTCTGACTACCCTTTTTAGATTATTAAATGCATCAGCAAAGAATTTCACTTACATTTATCTCAACTGAAAATTCTTAATGAAAAGGAACAATTCATGTATTAATATAGTAAAGATGATCATGAACCTCAGGGCATTCAGACATAATAATGTTTTCTTTTTCTCTAAGAGATGATAAGAGCAAACAGATCTCATGCATAAATCTAATAATTTCCATCACATTCATATAATATGTCTCAAGAGACAGTTCTATCTTTCCAAGTAATAAATGTTGAATAAATACCACAAATATAATGATAACAAGGATATGTCATCCAATTCATTTTATACTGAGGCTTTGTAGACACAAATCAATACAGTAGTCAACTTCTGAACATCATAAATATTACTTTTTTGAGTAAAAGTAACTCTGGGAGCTTGTAAAAGAAATTGTGTAATCTGACAGTTTTTTAACTAGATGTATCTCATATTAGGAATGGAAAATTTATATTTTACATAATTGAAAATTTATTTTTTATATTTAAAACATTTTTAACTTATTTTGAATTTGAATGTGAAAGACTTATGCAATGATAGGTTCAATATGAACCTTACTTTACACAGTAAGTAATTTACTTATCTCATAAAAAAATCTTGATTTCAAGAAAGAGGGATTGTGCCACTTTTTTAATACTGCAATGAGAGAGGAAAGAAATTGAAGAAACAACTGGGTAAAATGTAAAAATATAGAATTATGCATTTAAAATTTTTGTGATAGTTCTGTGAAGAGTAGGTCTTTAAATAATGTTAAATTAGTTATTAATTTATAGTTTCATTAATACAAATAAAATTTATTATTTACTAAGAAGAGATCTGTTTAGCAAACAAAAAACATGGTACTTTGGTTATAATGCATGCCTGTTGTTATCATCAGCTGACAAGTCTGAGTTTGTTGAGGAGCATTTACAGAGATGCAGCCTAGTATCTGCTAAATAGAAATGTCCTCAGAGAAAATAAAGTCTTTCAAATCAATACACATTTCTGAATGCCTATTTTGAACAAGACAGAGTACTAAGAGCCACAGTAAAAACATGCATGATAAAGTCTTGACCATCAAGAAAATTATATTTTGTTTTTTTTTAGTAGATTATGAAATAATAATGGTGAGTTTTAGTAGCTTGGAAATACTCTAAGTGTATAAAACATAACCATCCCAAATTCTATTTTCTCACATAGATGTGCAACAGCAAATCTATAATATTTCATCAGAATGTGCTAACAATGGGAACAATTGTAAAGTATTTCATGCAGTAACCAGTATTTTATTGCCATGATATTTAGTGTTGGAGGAGGTCACTGAGAGGACGTGGCTGCTGGTTGACTCATGAGCTGAACCCCGTGCAGTCAGAGGCTCCCCTACTCTTTGCC